TTTTACAGCCTTTCCCTTTTGTCTTGTCATTCCATGCCCTTGTCAAAAGCCCCTCTCCAGCTTTCTTGTCAGCCCCTTTAGGCACTGGAAGCTGCTCTAAGGTCTTCCTGGAGCCCTCTCTTCTCCAGGCTGAACCAGCCCAGCTCTCTCAGCCTGGCTCCAGAGCAGAGCTGCTCCAGCCCCCTGACCATCTTCATGGAATCTAACTCGCATGTGTGTAGATCTTGTTCAAAAGAATTGGTTTTCTCCTTCTCTTGCAGTCTCTTGTGCAGCCGGCCACTTGAAGGAGTAGGAATCCTTCAACCTCTTGTTTCAAAAGACTGTGAGCCATTTCCTGCTGTGAACTCCCTTCGCTCCCCCATTTCGGCAAACAAAAGATCCTAAGAGGAGGATGAGGCAGCTGCGAGGAAAACCCAAAAAAGAGACCTCCAAGGATAAAAAGGAGAGGAAACAGGCGATGCAGGAGGCCCGGCAACAGATCACCACCGTCGTGCTGCCCACGCTGGCGGTTGTAGTACTGCTGATTGTTGTGTTCGTTTATGTAGCCACTCGCCCAAACACGACAGAGTGATGCAGCTCCTCACGCTTCCCAGCCGTGGGGTTTTAACTGTTTTACCAAGAGCCAGAAGGAACCCTCTGCTCCTCTCTTAGTACGTCACAGAGGAACTTGTCAACTTCTTACTCTTTCTCTCGTAGGGTCCCGCGGAGTCTCTTTAGGAATGTAACATAAAACGTATTTGTGAGCGTGCTGGTACGTTTTATGGTCAGTTCATGTGCCTTTCAGACTTTTAAAATGGTGGTTTTCTGAAATCCATTGGAAGCTCTATATTGTAAAAGGAAATTGTGCTCTGCTATAAATTTGTATAAAATCAGCTTTCAGCTTTTATCACTGTTACGGATCATGTTGCTCTCATGAGCTCCTGGATGTCTGTTTCAGAACTTCCAAAGAAGTGCATTTCTTCTTTGTACTTACTGTCATATGAAGTGCTTTGATTCAGAAAGGATATATTTATTTTTTGAATAAAAGAGAGAAGTCTTGGAATCTTCAAATTATTTTGCAAAAAATGTGACTTATTGTGAAAGCCAACATTGTGTAATGATTTTTTTCATTAAACACTCTCTAGTTCACCCAAAAAGAGTTCCTTTTGCTGTGAGATGCCACCACATCAATTGAATTCTTCAAGATCTGCTGTGAGGAATCTGTATTACAGAGGTTGGAAATGGCAGGTTTTACCAGTTTATGGGGAAGTAACTAAAAATGAGCAATGTGAATACAGACAGTTGTTTATCTGAATGTTAAATATTTAAATCTATGTAAGTGGCAATAAAAGATGATTTTGGATACAACCCTTGATTTGATTTGACTTGATTTTTTGTAAAGGAAGGAAAAGTAACACTGGTAGAAGTTGAGTCTCTGGTGTATTTGCTGCAGCGAGCTGCTGTCCTGTGACATTCCCCTCTCCCCCTCAGTCCAAGGAGGCTGTGAGCATGGCTTGGGCAGTTTTATTCTAGGAGATCAAGCTGTAAATGCTTCAAGAATCCCATATTCCTCTACAGCCCTTTCTCATCCAAATATTTTAAGGTACTTGGGAAGCATTTACCTTCAGCAGACTTGGGGAAGGGAATTTGAGAACCCTTGTCTGCTGCTTAAATACAGGCCAAGCAAGGAAGAAGAATGCTGCAGTGCACTGAACCTGCTTTTCCTCTAGGCTGGAGAAACCCAGACTCTCTCAGCCTTTCCTCACATGCAGCTTCCGAGTCCTTGGGTCATCTTTCTGGCCCTTCTCTGGACCTTATCCAGCCTATCCACATTTTTTCTGTGTGTAGCAGGGACTAAAACTCAACATGGTGTTCTAGGGTTGGCCTGACCAGTGTTGAGTACAGTGGGACAATGACATCTTTATCTCTGCTGGTGATGCCCTTGTTGGTGTCACCAGCACCCTGTTGGCTTTCTTGGCCACAGCTGCACACTGGTCACTTCTCTCAAGCTTGGTGTAAAAACACTCCAGGCAAGCACATGCAGTTCCCTGCAGTGGACTTTGCCCTGAGACATCGAGTGGGTGAGTCTGTGGCCAGCTCTGAACTAACCCAGTTCAGAACAAGACACATACCTGGTGATGCTGGGATGTGCTCACCAAGCCATGCTCTAAGGCTGGAAATGATCCGTGCTTTGGTACAGGAGCCGCTTCCTTCAGCTGGAGCGATCTGAAGCACCGCAGCTGTAACAGTAATTGCTTAGTCTGTGTCAGCTCCCAGCTGCTCCTGTTCTCCCAGCACCAAATCCTTTCTGTCCTATTTTCATTTTATCCTCACTCCGGGATGAAGTGAAATGGAGCTCTGATCATTTGCCCCTTTCTGAAGGGAGGTGTTGAGCTTGAATAAACTGTGCCTGAGGACGCGAGCAAAAGCGTGTGTGGTTTAGATACGCATGTTCTGCAGGGTGCTCACTGCCTTGGGTGTCTAGAAGAGAAGCAAAGTTCCTGCTCGCCTCTTCCATAGGCTCCTCATCATCATCTTAGTTTTTGTAGATTCTTAACCAGGGTTTTCCTGTCCCTGCTCATTCCCTGGTGCTGTCCAACAGCTCTGTCAACATCCCTGTGATTGCGCATCTCGGAGCAGCAGGTGTATTTCAGTCCCTTCCACCTCAGGGCAGTTTTATCAGCCCAAGCAATAATTTGACTTCAGAAAGCCTGTTCAGAGCCCTGAGGTGCTTCCTCCCCCCTTCATTTTCTGCAAGAGCTGAGTCTGTGACGCAGAAGAGCAATCAACTGGCTGGTAACAGCTGAAGAGGTAGAAGGTCAGCTGGGTTAGGTAGTATTTAAGATTACTTCTCTAATGAGATGTTTCATTTCTGCTGCCTTCTCTTCTGCACTCCCTTTCTCTCGTCATCTGTGAATTCCTCAGGTCACAATAATAATCTTTTCGGAGCCAAATGTTTATTAATATGAACTATAGCTTAATGCTAATAAGAGACACTGTTTATTTCAATCCCTGAAATGTGCAATTTTACTGGGTGCTAATTGAGAGGAAAACTGTTACACATTCGGAATTGTTCCTTATGCAGAAGCCAAATTGATTTCACAGTTTGATGCTTGGAAAAAAAAAAGAGGAATATATTTTTCTCTAGTTAAACAATGAAGTTGGATTCTGACATTTCCTACCAAATTCCCTTTTGCCAGTGCTGGATGTGAGAATGCACGTTTGGAGCGGGGGCGGGGGAAGCCTCTCTAGATAGGAGCTGTCAAAAATCTCTGCGAAATGATGGGCAAGTAAATTAATGGCAGTTGCCCAAATGTCAGCTCCTGTGAACCTCGCAGCCCAAGGTGTAACTGTGTCTCTGGTTTTTAATGGTGTGTGTTACTCCAACTGTCAGTTGCCTTCAAAAATGTTTTGGAAATAGGATTTCAAACTTTTCCCCAGCACACAGCAGCTTGTGGGCAAAATGGAACGATTTACTACAGGCATTTTACTAGAAAACTCACGCTGAGAGACTTCTTCCACAGTGTCTGTGGTACCTTTTGCTTTCCATAAGTGCTCATTATCAGGTGAAGTCATTAAAACTTGCCATTGCCTTCTGATAAATCAAGTTATAGACGCAATTTTTTACACCCAATTTTTCAAAGCATAAATCAAATCTGAGTAAAATATTTAAAGATCAAGGTTTGAATGGAGCTTTATGTAAATGTCTTGGAAGTGCTAAGAAAATGGAGTCAGGTATCCTTGCCGTGGGTATCCTTGCCCATCGGTGTCATCCGTGGCCCCACTCCTCAAAGCCAAGCGAGAGAAGGCAGCAACAGTGCCCATGGTCTGAAGGAACAACAAACGTATTTTCAGAGCTCAGAGATATTGGCTCTTGGTGTTCTGCTTCAATCCATTCACAAGAAAATACTCACATCCTGATGTTCAGAAAACAGTGCATTTAAATACAGACAGCAGAGAAAATGCACTGTTCTTCTTCCAGACTGTGTCTGTTCGGTGCCTGGATGGTGTGTGCACAGGCCTGGATGCTCCCACAGCTCTGGAAAGTGTGAACTGGAACCTGCACTTGGATTCTGTGGATTTGGACCTGCACTGCAGAGATGTTTCTTACCAGGAGAAGTTTCTTCCCAAGGCAGGTGGTTCCAGTTCACATGCCACACACCAGCAAGGCAAATCCTGCCATCCGTGTCCCAGCAAAGTGTCCTCATCAGTGCTACAGATGGAGCTGCCAGCTGCTGTTGTCTTCTCTGTACTGTCTTTCTTTGGTTGAAAAGTTTCAACCAAAACATTTCTTGTTACAGGGCTTCATGAAATGCCGAGGGCTCGGACTTCGTAGAATCCCAGACTGGTTTGGCTTGGATGGGACCTTAAAGCTCATCTAGTTCCACCCCCCCTGCCACGGGCAGGGACACCTTCAACTAGAGCAGGTTGCTCCAAGCTCCTGTGTCCAACCTGGCCTTGAACACTGCCAGGGATGGGGCAGCCACAGCTTCTCTGGGCACCCTGTGCCAGCACCTCAGCACCCTCACAGGGAAGAGCTTCTTTCTAATGTCTAATTAAAACTATCCCCTTTGAATTTAAATCCATCCCCGCTTGTCTTATCACTACCTGCGCTTGTCAAAATTGCCTCTCCAGCTTTCTTGTATCCCCATTTAGGTATTGGAAGACTGTTACGAGGTTTCCCTGGAGACTTCTGGAGGATTTCTTGCTCCATCTGGGATTGTACAAGGGTTCGCATCAAGTAAATCCTACAGCTGTTGCAGGAATCGAGTGACAGGGTGGTTTAGGACTGTTATTTGCAGTCAAACATGTTCTTGTAAGGTAACTGGACAAACATTGTAGATAAATGTTTTAAAGCCACTAGCAGTTTGCTGGAAAGTAGATTAGAGGAACAATCTGATGGCTTTGTTGGGTTAGGAGGGGACACTGCAGCACGGCGTATCGGTGTCCAGGGGTGTTGCTCAATCCACTAGCAGATATTTAGATGCAGTACATTAAATTACAGCCTAATTATGGATTCGAGGGGGCCCATGTGATAAAACAGTAACTCTGACACAGTGAACTTTGAGATCTGAACCCTGCAGTGAGGAAAAAACAACCGAGTTGCCGCATTGCTTTGGCCAATTCAAACGAGCTCTGCTATGGCACGTCTTGCACCAAGCATTTTCTGAGCAGACTGTGGTGTCTGAGAAGAAAAGAAGCTTCCCTAGCACAAGGCTGATGGTGCAAAATCTAGTGGCTAGCTTGTCGGCATAGAATTACATGGAAAATTGTGGTTGGGAATGATATAATTGGCTGCTGTAGGTTGTAAAGCCAAACGGGAACGTAATCCCAGTATCTGAACAATAAGGCTAAGGACCTTCTGGCCCTCAGCCTCCTTCCAGCTGTTTGGTCTCTGGGAGATGCAGGGCAGAAAGCAGGACAGAACAGAGCTCAGCACCCACCTGAGCTGGATGCCTAAATAAGTCTGTGACGACTGACACAACATTCCATAGATGTAAAATCACCCAGGGTTCATCCCATTGGACAGTCTCTAGGGACAACTTCCTTCTCATTCCCACTGCTGGTGTTTAGTCTAGTTTTGAATCAGTA